GCAGGTGGATGGGGCTGGGAGCTCTGCGGTGGTGATGAGAGCACATACCCAGCCTGGAACGTTTCCAGTGGAAGAAAACTAATCTTGAAATAGAAATTCTTATCTTAGCAATGGGAGAATGGTGGCAGAGACACAAAGTGCCTTTCACTGTGGAAGTGGATAGGATGTGTAATTATCCGAGCTGATGGGAGTCCTGTGTTTTTTAACTTGGTTACGTTTCTCTGGCACTGTCATCCTGACGGTGATTCCAGTCACTGTGTTACATTTTTACAACTTGTTTTGTCAGTGCTCAGATATTTCTTCTTCTTCTAAAACTTCTGTCTGCCCTAATCCTTAGGATTTTAATGGCCTTTGTTTGGCTTCTTGTGCTCGTGGGTCAAATGTGGGCTTGCTGTGATATTAAACTTTCTTGCCTGTCCAGCTTTTCCTGGTGGGTTCTTTCCAGGAACACCCTCTGCAGCTGGTCTATATCTAGATTAGCTTTTTTCCCAGGGCCATATATTAATGATCTGAAATGTTCTCTAAGTGTCTCAAAAATAAAGCTACCAGTGCATTCTGTGTGTGCCCAAGAGATGCTGGAAATACCTCAGCACCTTTTGGAAAGACCACTTGCTAAGCAGAGCCATGAGCATTGAAACCTTCCTTTTTGGGGGAGGTGAAAGATTAGGACAATTGCAAATGATACAAATGAAAGAGGAGGTATTAGATAATTGATGCCCTTGGCCAGTTGTAACAATTCGAAGAGAGATTGCAATGACCAAATGCTTTGGAGAGGTGAATTTGCTGCAGGAACGTGGTGAAAAGCAGCTGCCAAAGGATTTAAGACCATTTTTAAGAGACTGGGAGGTGGAATGGAGGGAGGAGATGGAAGATAGAAGGAAAATGGGATGTAAAATTCGGGAAAGGGACAACTGAAGCGAAGGCAGACAGCGGGGGGGACCCGGCAGGAGCCATGGGGATGACAGAGTGCCAGGGAAATCCTGCCAGCACACCCAAGGTCAGCCCAACCTACAGGCCAACTGCCAAGTGGATGGCAGCACGTGGGAGGCAGGGTTATGGCCATGCAGGGTTGGAAGGAGGTCCAGGTGCAGGATGGCAGAGAGTGGCACGTCTGTGCAGTCCTTGTGTCCAGGAATAGGTTCTGGGACACAGTGGGCAGAATTAGGGAACTTACTAAGAGATGAATGAAAGCTTTTCTCTCAAAGCAGCCCTGGCAGTGCTGGGCAGTGTGTTCATGCTGAGGGTGCACTCTGCTTGCTCCTGGGGAGAGAACTTGTGCTCGGGGTACCAACTGTGTGCTGGTGTTGTTTTGGCTTCAGACTCCTTGTATGACCTTGCACAAATCAATATAGTCTAAAATCTGGCTATAGACAGCATCCACATCTTTGTGATTACTTCTAGTTCCAAAGCCTGATCATTTAATGTTGGCTAATTCCAGTGCCCAGTGAAATTCAATCAGGAAAGGTGGTCAGGAGGATAAATGTGAATCTGGACATTGACTAGGGTTTCCAAATGCACCTTGAATAACAGGCTGTATTGACACCAGTGAAGATCTTGGAAGCCTTCACAGACCCTCTTGTGTCTTTAGGTCTCCAGTGTGATCAAACCCCAGCCCTCTCAGTGCCCTCCATCCTCCCCCTTGTAAAACAAGGTCATTATTGCAGAGTATGGGGGTTGAATAACCTGCCAGTAGCTGCTGGGTTGGGGGGTTATTTTGAATGAAAGGACCTAGGATTTAGGGCCAGGAGGACAGCAACCCTCATCTGCACGCATCTTCCAGCTCTGTAATGTCATGCACAGAGCATGGGGATGGGGTTTAGCTCCTGGAGGGGAGGGGTTGCCAATGATGGGCATTTTCCTTGGAAGACAAACCTGTGGACCTGCTTGTGTGTTGTTAGCCCAGCGCCTGCACTCAGTGGCCATGTGCTCTCCTGCAAATTGTGGCTTGCACGAGGCAGCTCTTGTAGAGATCAGAAGCTGGAGTGTGAATTGGGGGAGGCTGACTGGAGGATGCCCCTTGGGGGAGGCTGGGACCCCACCACATCCTCGTTACCGCTGACCTTGGCACGAGCACTGCCTGCTGATGGATCGGCTCCGGAGCCGGACAAGACCCTGGGGAACCACTGCATTATCTATTATCGTCCCATCAGTGCCTCCCCTGACCCCTCCCAGCTCCGAATGCCACAGGCATCAGGGAAGGAATAAATCTCTGTCTGATACTGAGAGAGAGAAGGGAGCGAGAGCAGGAAAAAGGAGAGATGAAAAATGTCCTTTTTATGACTCTCACAACAAAGCTGGCCACACGATTCGTAGCAAACATTACTCTGGGAAGAGGGAGGGAGAGAACAGGGAGGGGGGAATCAGCAAAAAGCAGAGCTGCTTCTCTCCCCTGGAAGATGCCCACAGGGAATTAATAGAGGGGTATGGGTGACCTTTGAAGGTAAATATCCCAGGAAAAGAAAGGAAAGAGGCCTCAAAGCTTCAGAAAGCCCACTGTGTCTGAGGCTGCGTGGTGAAATGCTCCATGCAGCACACGTCCACCACGAGGGGAGAGCACAGGCACGAGTGCTCTGCTGTGCTGGGGGGAGCAGCAGGGCCAGCCCGTGATTAATAAGGCCCTAATAGCAACGGCAGCATTTGTGCTCCTTTCTGTTCGGGATGATCCAGGAGAGCTCGTGCGTGTGAGCCTGGGGAGAACTCCTGACCTTGCTGTCTTTAGGAGACAGAAGCCTTTAGCAGCCCAGCCTGAGCCTGGGGCTGAGCAAGGGCTGGAGATAAGCTGGCAGGATTTGAGAAGCCCCTTGTGCATCCCCCCCTGAGCCCAGACACCTTCCTGTGGCAGCTGCGGAGTTATTTGGGTTCTGAGCCCTGTGCTGCAATTCCCGCTGTGTGTGGGAGCTGCTACAGGGCTGTGGGTGCAGATTGGGAGGTTTTGCACTGGTGTTCTGGGGCTGTCCCAGAGCACCACTGGCATCAGGAAGGGTGTCTCCAGCTGCTTCCAGTGCAGTGGGAAAGCACCTTTGCTCTCTGCCCTTCTTGGCCATGTTGTCTGTGCTGAGGGCTGGGGAATGACAGGCAGGCTCTGTTCGTGCTGGAAAACTTCACTGCACCTGAGAAGGTTATCCAGGCTGTTATTTCTAACAGGCATGGAGTGCTTGGAGTCATGGAAAGAGACCACATGCCACCGTTTTTTTCTTCTGCCCCCAGACAAGCACGTACCTCAGCTGGAAATGTCTTCCCAGTCAGCAGCACTAAGAACCACAGTCCTACAGGGCTCAGAGTCCAAACCCAACTGAAATCCATTGGCAACCAAGCCATTTTGAGCAAGTCAGGTCTTGCTGAACCTGGGGAGCTGTTATAGGTTGGGGAGTGCTCACCCAAGCTGGTATCTTTAACTTGCCAGTCATGGAAAAGTGTGTTAAACTCCCACTTTTACCGAAATGGCTGTAACAACTCCTTGGTAATCCCAGTAATTTGATTTTATCTATTAACGTGCTTTTAAAGTAAAGGGATAAATACAATCAGTCTGCATAAAAGGTAGCTATTAAGGAGCAGGCAAGTTGTACAATAATAACTTTAAATTAAAAGCCCTTTCTCACTCTACTTCTGCTGTTGTGGGGTCTGCAGATTTTCCTTAAAACTTTTGAAACATGCCCAGGCTTCTTACAGGCAGCCACTTAACCTCCGTTTATGAAGAAATAAAGCAAAATTGATGTTGATTTTGGTCTGCATTGGGGGATACTTTTGCAACATAAAAGCCCTTTTGCCTGCAATTTGCAGAGCAGCCCTGTCACATCGGTGAGGGCTGATACTGATAAAGATAAAGCTTTATGGCTGGGGCATTTGCAGCTAACAGCAAGCTAATGCTACATTTTCATTTTGATGCAATTAATGTTAATGTCTGCTACGAAAATTGTCATTAAATACCATTTTAAAATCCATTCAATTTGCATATGCAAAGGCCATTTACTATCACGTAAAATACACGGGGCCGTTCATCATGTCTTTTCTCTAGGATTTGTGGCTGTTATTTTTCTGGTAGTGATTATTATCTAGCTCTTAAAATGAAACCTAATGTCTGGTCCAGACCTGCACAGAGCAAGAAAAAGCCTCTGTGCTCCAGCAGAAGCAGGACTTTCAGAGCCTTTGAGCGCTGGTTTGTGCTGGAGTCCACTGGCCCTTTCAGCCTGCTGTGCTCTCCAGCTGCCCCTGAGTGAAGCCTTAAACATCCTCCTGCACTACAGAGGGATGGATGGGCAGGATTATGCCCTTCTGGAGGGGCTGCTGGACGGTCAGCATGTACCAGCTCTCCTCCAGCCCTTAGGAGGGAGCCCAAGGAAGCAGAAGAGAGCAGTGAAAACTTTCTTTGCCTCTGTTCTGCTCTGCTACCAGTTTCTGCCCCATGCAGGGTGATGAACTAACAAGCTCAGTTGAACTGATCAGAACTCCACCAGAGCATTTCAACCAGTGCAGACAGGTGGAAATGCTGTTGCTCTGATTTTCTGACCCTGAGAAGCCATTTTTCTGGCTTACAACTCTCCATATTCCTTTAACTTACAGGGTTGGCATTGAACGTGTTTTTAAGAGGTTCCAAGACCTTAATGGCAGAGTTATGGCACATCTGGTAGATTTAGGTAGTTGATTATCAGGCAGAGGTGTAATCAGACATGGAAGTTGTCATGTGAAAAGGGGGGGGATATGCCCAACCCCTCTCCCAGTGCAATCTCCAATAACAGGTGGTTGTCAGTGTTTAGGGAAGCTTTGTGGGGCATCCTGACCATGTTTCATCTGGGAAGCAGCAGCTGTGTCTCCCTCTGTAATTCTTATTCTCCTTTAACTCTTATCCCTATCCATTACTCCCCAGAGTGATCTGTGACCCAGCATATCCAGCTTCAGGAAGTTGTGTTTGGGGACTGTGCTAGCTGGGATATGGGAGAGATGTGGATGTGAGGGGAGGAAGGGATAACTTCATTCTGAGAAGGGCCCCGAGTCTCCCTTACCGTGCTGGCCTGCCGAAAGTCATGTCTGCAGGGATTTTGGAAACCCATCCCGTGAGGAATCTGTTCTCATCTTTGCACCGAATGTCCATGAACTTGTAGTAGAGCCCGAACTCCCGGGCCGTGGTACAGCCGGCGTCGACAGCCCCGCGGTTCATGGTCAGGAAGTCCCGGGGCATGATCTTCTTTATGTTCTTTGTGCTCCTGGGCTTTACTGAATCCCAGTGGCCTATGGCTGGAGATGGAAGGAAATGTGAGAGGCATCTCAGTTAGCTCCTGTTTGGGAAGGCAGGCTGATGTTTGTGCACCGTGCAGGAGGGCCCTGTGTGGCCAGGATGCGTTTTGTCACGGCTTCACCGTGCAGTGAACTTCATATCCTGTGCCACTGCATTTCACGTGGGGACACCTCCCATCTGAATTGGAGGTTTTCTCACCCTCCACCCTGCCTTGCTCAGGAGGCCTGATCTCACAGGGAAATTGCCCTGAGAGCACAAAGTAGGAGCTCTAACAGAGTTCTGACAGTGGCCAGGTGCCCATTGGACCCACCCCTCTCTGCCTGGGCTCTGTGTGAGCCTCCAAAATTTTCCAGTATGACAGAGAAACTGTACTGGTCACCAAGCAGTTTGTGTGGCATTAATGAAAGTGGGTAAATGTTGGAGTTTTGCACCTCCAGCCTGATGAGAAGTATTGAGGAGCCCTGGGAAGGGGAGGAAAGTCCATGCTTAGCATTAGGACTTTGTTGCAGGTCTGTGTTTTAGTGGCAGTGTCATACCTTCAGCAACTCCTCCATCTCTCTTGTGTATGTACATCCCATAGGTAAAGTCAAGGCCTGGCAGGGAGTAGCAGTTTCTCAGAGGCTTCCCCACTTCATGCTGCAGAAAAGTGAAGTTAAAAGAGAAGCATGAAGAGCTTTTCTGATAAGATAAAGCCCCTGAAAATAAAAGTTCATAACAGAACATGGGCACAAGTACCAGGAGTGGCTGTGGCTCCCCTTGGCAGGGGTTTGAATCTCACTGCACAAGCACAGTGCAAAAGGCAGCTGAAGCCTAAAGGATGCTGAATTTCACACAAGTTTGTAGTTGAGTTATAAAGCAACCCAGTCTTTCTGGAAATAGGGGTCCTGACTCAATATATACAGACTTGAAATATTCTTGTTTAGTTAATCTCTCCATTGGCTGGGATGCCCACATGTAGTGTCTGCTGGGGACACTGAAACTGGTCTTTACTTTATTTAATTTCCAAGTTGTGCATCCTCCTAGAAAACTGACATAAACTTCCCCAAGCACCATCACATGGCTGCTCCTACCTGAATCAAGACACAAGGCATGTTGCAGGAGGAGGAGAAGGGGGATGAAGAAGGGACAGCAGAGCCTGGGGTTTATAGCACAGAAGAGAACTTGAGCTCAATAACCTCATTTCTGTTTAGTTTTAAAATGAACTCTTCCCCAGCCCATGTGTGTCCCAGCCTGGTGGTGTCTGTGGGATTAACTGACCTCCCCTCACCCCTTTTGTCTCTCCCCTCCCATCTCCATGGTGAAGTCACTGCAGGGTGTGTGTGTCTTGAAACCTTATTGCTGCTTGAAAGGGTGGCTGTGGAGGAGGGAAGGGAAGGGGATGGGAGCCTGGCAGCAGCTTCAGGCTGTGCGTCCCTGCGAGGGAAAGCTGGAGCAGGGGCAGGAAACAAGTCCCCAGGAGCCCTGAGGGCATGGTGTGCACGCTTTGGGACAGGTTATTTTCCATGGGAAGGGTGTTAGAGGAGCTGGGATGTTGTAGGTGTTGACAGGTCTTGTTGGGAGAACGAAAGTGCTGAAATACTATTCTAGTGCTTCTCACTGAACACCAACGTTGAGGTGACCATTATTACACTCCAGAGTGAACACTCTGTGGATCAGGAGGTGCTGAATCAAATGCAGACCAAGTGAAAAGAGACTGCAAATGAACCACCTCCAACTTCCCACTCTGCCAGGCTGAGGCTGTACAGCAGGCGATAAAGGGACCCAGCTTACTGGAGCTGCTTGTGTGAGAACATCATCCAAACCCAAATTTACATCTGCTCCCAGTGCAAACCCTGGCCAGGGCCTCAAAGCAGCCATGGCTCTCCTGTACTCTACTGGCTGCTTTCCAATATGCTCTTCTGCATCACCCTCAGCTCAGGCAAAACTCTCACTGAGCCAGTTTTGCCTGGAGAGTGAGGGTTAATAACCCCTGCCCAAAACAGGCACCTTTCCAGAGGGTTATGTGTTGAGCTCTTTAGAATTTGCTCTTAATTCCTCAACCTTTTTCATCTGGAGATATTTCTCTGTGCACTCAGTTTGGGGTTTCTCAGCTGCTGTCTCTATGTGTAGCTCCACAAGCCCTAAAAGCACACGGTGGCTTGATTGTGTGGTGACAACAGGTCTGCTCCTCTGCAGAGCCTGGCAAGCTGGCTGCCAGCTTTGCCAGTTTGGGATCACTGGGTTTGCACACCAGTACAGTGATTCTTTCAGGTAAATCCAGGGTCTTACTTCTCAGATCTGGGAGGGAGGTGCTTCATCTTGTTCCTGTTAAATCCCCACACCTGTGACACTACAAAGCAGGTGTGGTATCCCCATGACTCTCAGGAGCACAAGTTCACCAGAAAATGAGTTTTTTGGACTTGCTAAGATCCTTTGGTAAGCTCAAAACCCCCATGAGGCTCCTTGCCCTGTGCGAAAGGACAGATCCTTTGTTGCCAACAGACCTCTTTGAAAGCCATCCTGACGCAACCTGTGCACGACGTGGCTGCATTTCCCGAGCTGCCAGTGGCAGAGGAAGGGACTGCCCCTTGCAGGTGTGTCCAGCACTGAGCACGAGGGGAGTGAGTGGGTTTTTAGTGCTACCACGAGTGAAATGCCACCCCGGCAGTGCTGAGCCATATGTGCCCGCTGCGTGTGAGTCGGGAGCTCACGCACAGCGCACAAACCTCTGCCAGGGATGATGAAGTGGCTTTCATTGCTGATCTATTTCTCCTGTATTTACAGCTATTTTTAGAGTGGTTGTCACTGGTGTACGAGGGAAAGGGTGTAACGTTCCTCAGAGCCGTGAGAAAAGGCTTTTTCCAGGGAGCACGTTCTGAGACCGGAGCAGTTAAGTGAGGTCAGAAATCTGCGAGGATGGCGAAGGTGTGGCAGATGGGAGAAAATTGCTGAGAGACTGCAGGAAAGGAGAGAGGTTTGTAACCTGTGGCAAAGCTGCTTCCAGACCCTCAAATGCGGAACTGTGGAGTATGAAAAAAATTATGGGCTTTAAAGAGTCCCTTTTGTCGAGCACCTGAAGGTAACACAGTTGGGTGTTTACTCCATCACAAAATGAGTGCATGCTGTTTCCTTTTATGATCAGGTGGCATTTTACAGTCACTTTGCACTGAATAAATAAAGCTGAAGGTGCTGGATAATTAATTAAAAAAAAAATCTGGTCCAATATGTTGAACATGGAGAGAATCTGTGCCTGAATCAAAATCAACGAACTCAGAGGACTCTGGTTGCCTGCCAACATCTTTTACCTACAAAAGAAGGGGAAGGATGTAGCAGGAACGAATCTTGCTTGGTGTAATCCAAGATTACAGCCTTTCTCATTCATAAATTAACAAGGTGCTGTTTCCAGCTCATGGGCTGGTTTCATTTGTTTGTCCTGGGGCATTATAGGTGTGCTCTGTCATAAAGCAGTGGGGAGAGTGAGCCAAAGTTGATGCAGAAGGTCCTTTTTTCTCCCCCAGCTCCAGCACCGTTCCCTGTGTTCAGGTTTAGGCTGTCACAAAGCTGCTTGGCTGGAATACAGATCTGTCTGACAGCTGTGCCCATCAGCAGACAACTTCATTAAACCTCATTAAGATGTCATTTCTCTGCCTTATTTCCCACCTCTTGGCTCTAATTAAAACCGTCTCTCTCTGCATCCCAGGCGGTCCTAATTTTCTCTGGGTACCTTCTGCAAGTTTTCTCCCTTTACGACCTCAGTGAGGGAAATCCAGCATCCTAAATGCTGTTTATCCAGCCTGCTTGGAAAGGACAACTCTAGACTTTTTCCTGAAGCATTCCCAGTGCACCCAGCAGAGATAACACCTCCTCCCAGGGCTGCAGGAGATGTGCACTGAGGCTTTGTTTGTTCTCTCCAACTGTCTTTAAGGACTTGGCTAATCCATCCTTTCCCTTTGGACATGATGATTTTCGTGGTGTGTCTGGACTGGGTTTGGAGGGTGCCATGCTCAGACCAGCCCCAGCACAGTGCTGGGGGGTGATTTATCACTGGGGATAACTTGGCAGGCTGAAAAGCAAGAGGTGTTGGGTGTATCAGGATGTCCCTGACCTTTGCTGAGTGGTTTCTGATTTCTTGAGCCCTGGGTTTTTATCCGAGTGTTGGAAAACGTTTGCTGCGAAGGAAGAGAAGGGGTCTGTTTGTGAGAAGTGGATGCATTGTAAAGGTGTAAGGAAGCACAAAACCTTTCAGGTTTGGGGATGGAGCACAAATATGTCTTGCAACAAAACCTTTCAGGTTTTGTTGCAAGACATATTTGTGTTCCATCCCCTGGTGTTTATGGCCCAGTGACACACATTGCATCAATTTTCTGAAGACGGCTGAGGCTGAGAGGGGTTGGAGATGTGTTTGTGCAGAGCTCCAGCGAGAGACAGGCGTGGATTTTTAATCCCTGCCCCTGCAGCCCTTCACTGGGAGGGAATGCTGGGGCTGCCCCATCCCCTCCTCTCTGGCTCTGCCCCGTGGCCACCTGCAAACTCTGCGCCGGTGCATTTTCATCCTGCCAGGCCCTGCCTCCCTCCCACCTTCTGTTCCCCTTTTCATGACACCCCCTTGTACAGTAAAGCCTCCCCGTCACGCTGCCATTACTATTATTATTGCAGATTTACTGCACTTGCAGAGTGAAGTGATTGCAGTGACAAGGCCCAGCATTTTTCCCCTCCTTCCCCCCGCGACAGCTTGAAATCAAGCCCTTCATTTGCATTTACATGATCTTGCTGTGCAGCTTATGAGATCGGGAGATTTATTTGCTACTTAGCTTGATGTTTGATTACACTCTAAGAAGGCAGTGAGCTACAAAGTGCAGGGATACATCAGAACTGAGCTGCTGAAAGCCTCTGGGGGACAGTAACTCAACATCAGGTTTAGGTAGATGAGAAAGGGAATGTTCAGTGTTTTGAGAAAGGCAAATTTGATGAGATTTTTTTTTTGTTAAGGGTAGAAGGAAAAAC